AATTGATCAGCAGGTGCTTCAAAGCACCTACTGACAGGTTTAGTCTAGACAAGGTTTGTTGATATGATTTAACCGGAAAGTTTTTGCTTATAGCAGTTCAAAATAGAATAAACCTACGTTGGCAGAGTGTTTTTACTGTCTATAGTTCAGCTGCACAGTCCCTTGCTAGTAAGAAAGCATCTCCAAAAATTTTAACTTGACCAGTATTGTTATTTTGGCAATTATTTCTGGTGATCTAGGCACGACTGCTAGAACAGATACTGCCTGAATGTTTGTTCTGCAGCATACGGTTCACATCAGTACGTTTCTACAAAAAACAGTCCCTAAATCTGATTTTCAGTTAACTGCACATGAGGTAACTGCAGCTCCGTTGGAAATGAGGTGTCGGTTGTTGAATTTATCTAGCAGGCGTAACTACAAGAGTTAAATATTTTAGCTGGTAATGTAGTTCTAAAATACACCATTTTGGTTGTGACCAACCACCGATACATTTCCTTAAATCAATTGGTTTACATGTACTTGCCTATTATAACAATCGCACGGTGGATGTATTTATCTACAAGGCGAAGTTTAGCTCCTGTAACTGTAAATGAGGAACATTGGCTTTTTCTGCTTTACTAGCTTTATCTTTAATCACACTTAAAGAGAGTCCGTAATGGGTTGTGAGATCCAGTAATGGAGGTGGTAAGGTTAATGGGGCATCCTGTTACGCTACAGATTTTTGTTGCAAATAATTTTAGGTATTAAATGCATGAAACCTTTGCCGTAGGAAGGTGAGCCAAGAGTTTGAGTACCTAAAGAAGGTGGGTTCAGCTAACTGCTGTTTGCAAAACAAAATAAAGTCTGAGAATGATGAGCGCGGCTGATTTTAGAGAAGGACACAATCCTAAGATACTGCCGGAATCTGAAATTCAGGAGTGAATCATCTTCTCTAATGACGGAAGATGGGAGAGGTGTAAAATAACAGCATTTGTGATGATCTTTTTTCAGTCTGTAAAAGACAGCAGCAGATACCATGCCCAGAGCTTCTGGTCACTTACTTCTTCAACCAAGGAGCTGCAAGTTGTCACTCCAGTGTGAATAAAGAAATATCATATAGACAAATCTTCTGTACAGGAGCTACAGTATCTTGGATAATTCTCTAGACCGTTCCCCATTGAGATAACTTTTGAGGTAGTTTTTGCTTAGCGATGCATTGGATTTACGGAATAAGGTTATTTTCTCACTCTTACAGTCGCTGTCCTTTTTCTGAACTTACGTTACAGGAACTGCTTGCAAGCTTGGTGACCTGCTGTGACCCTGGCCCGTGTCCCTTAGTGATCACCTGGCTCTGTCCCGAGAAATTTCCAGTGGTGCTGTAGTATAGAGAATCTCCCTCTATCAGCGGCTGTTCTTACAATACATCAAATAGGGCATTGCAGGAATGATGCTTCTAATGCTGGGATGCACGGCATCCCACGTTCTCTCTCCTAGGAAAACTCTGCAAGCTAAAATAGGGATGATGTGTGAACCTATTTCAAATGAAACTACTGGGTTTTGTAGGTGGAAGAGGGGAAAAAAGGAAAACTGTTCTTGCCCGCATCGCAACGGTAATAGAAATTGGAAGAGAAAAGATTGTTCTGCAAAAGAAGTATGGACAGACTTTCTCTGATTTCCATTGGGATTGTTTCCCATCTCATATTTTAGCAGTGATCCCAATCATTTTTTTGAGATCTAAACAAGTATCACAAGGTTGCCATTGAGTTCAGCTGAGAGTTGCGATTTTATACTAACACTCTAGAGGCTGTTGGGGGGGACTTGTTGACAGCTTTGGCCATGTTTTATTTCTAAATATAAACTGATGTAATCTCTAGGTAATTTTATGGTTTGCGTTTAATGACTGTGTTTTAGAGCAGCATCCAGCTCCTTTATACAGACCAGACTAATATCTGTATAGACTGTAGTATTTGTTCTGTGTCAAGGAGAACAATACGTAAGCAGTTCTGTGCCAAACGAGGGTGAAGAAAGGCTAGATAAAGTTGCACAGCGTTGTGGAATGGCGTTAAGGGAGAACTTTAGGCATCTCCAGAGCATGATTAAAAGGTAAGAAGGAAATTGAATGTGGCTTGAAACTCCAGTTTCGCACCCAAGGAACATAGTTCACAAGCTGCATCCCAAGCTGTCGCTTTGTTTGACATTTATGGTTTCTTAGAACAAAATTTGGTATTTTTAATTGGAAAAAGCAGGAAAGCAGGAACACTGCCAGGGATGGTAGTTATCTTATTCGCAACACCCAGGCGTACTTAAATATTAGTAGGAATTCCTTCATTGCTACCAGGACTGATTATTTGTTCAAGCCTGTGGTCCAGCAAAGCATGTAATTTAAACCCAGAGTTTGCTCACTGTGCACTGGAACGTTGAGAGAATTGAAGAGCATGCGCTGTCCAAAATGTAAGATGTACTCTGCTTTCGTAGAGTACTGCTTATCGATAAAATATAATTTGGCTAAAAGAAAAGGCGTAGTTCTTACAAAAAGCTGCCAAATTTTAAGATCTTTCCGCAGTCATAGAGCCAGTAAAAGTGATCCGAAAGTACCAGCGTTATTAAAACCATGGGGTTTTATTTCTTTTAATGTCCAAACTCTCATTCTCAATTTTTCAAGCGAACGGAATGTCTTTATGAATAGTAGGCGTTTGTAATCAGCTCAGCGTTGTGTTAAAGAACGTTTTTCTACTGGTATGCTTCTGAAGGGTATGCACTCATACCTACACTGAAATCTGCGCACCAGACTTTGTGTGAAAAGGTTGCAGCAGAAATGCTCTGGTGCGTATTGGGTTCCTTTCTTAGACGTTTATACATCTAATAGGAAGAAATGTGTCTGCTGAAAATCAGAGCATCCATCCCTAGAATGCAACTAATTCCATGTGATAGGATAAAGCTTTTTTTTTTTTTTTTTTTTTTTGGTTAAGGCACTGAGTGTGGCATGTAATCATTTAGATCAAGATTGGGAGAAAAAAATGGCCTTGTACAATGAAATGTCTAGGAAACGTTTAGGAGACGAAAATGTGACTTTCAGGGTTGTGAGAGAGAGAGGAGACTGACACAGATTCTCTCATTTTTCATTAGAATTTCTAAAGTCCAGCAACTTCAGGGCACTCATATGGTATTTTACCAGAGTGGCATATATATATATAGCCACAGAAATAAGAGGAAGCTTGAGTTTTGATGTAACTCCCGTAGTTAGCCCAAATCCACACGTGTGCAATTAATATAGAGGAAAACTGTTCATTCAGTCTTACTTAAAGCTGCTTAACAGCTTTAAATGATTGAAAGTCCTTAAAACAATTTAAGAACTTAAACCACTTAAAATGTTAGAAGCAGCCTTAGAGCATGAAGACTTTTGGTGGGGAAGAAGAGGGGGTCCCTCCTGAGCTGCAGCTCTGGGGCCAGAGCTGGTAGACTGATCCAGGTATAGGGGTGCGTAAGGAGGTGCACTTGAAGACCCGGAGGTGACCTGATGGAGAAGATGCAGGGCTTTTCTGAATGTGTTTATGTAGCATTGTGTACGTGCTCAGATTGCTCTGCTTCAAGTAGTGGGGTATGGGCTCTCCCAGCGATGTAAGGTGCAAATAGTGGGAGCCTCGCAGTGCAGTAGAGAGGAGAGAGGCAGGAGAATGTTTTCTGTCATAAGTCTTCAGCTGTGGAAAACAAGTTCAGGTGGTGGGCCAAAAGAAGGCTCTTCAGGAGGATTTTGGGGAAGTTGCTCATCTTCTGTGAGAGCTGAAAGACAGAATGTTTTACTTGGGTGGTTGAAGGACTTGGAGGTGGCATGAGTGGGGCAAGTTCTGCTTTTCACATGTTTTGAGGAGGCTCCTTTTTCTGAAAGGTTGTTTTTGGGATAAAGGAGCCTTTAGTGGGGGAGGGAGGGTTGCTGTAGTCTGACTGGTCTCAGCCGGTCTTAGCTGGCTGATCAGAAGCATCTGAAGAAGTCGTGGTTACTATGTGAGGTTACACATTTACAAAGCGTGAAGTAAATCGTTGTTTATGAGATTCAGCGTAGTTCCTGCTACCGCAGGTGGTGTTAATAACTTGTGTATGTGTGTTGGAGTGTATATATGCATAGGTAAAAAAAAAATTGTGCAGCTACACAAAAGTGATACTTCAGGACAAAGGAAGGGGGTGCAGGAATAGAAATGAATGACTGAAGGTGGAAAATTGAAAGGATGCTTCTTTTTGATAGCAGAGATACCACCTTAAATGTTTTGAAACTTGGCCTAGTTTTCAGTGACACAAGCAGTGATTTACACCTTTCTGTGCAGAAAAGGCTGTAAAACAGGAGTGAATTACATTCTGTACAATTTGAAAATAAATGGCGCGTTCACAGTCACTCACGATGAGGCCCATTTACACTTCCAGAGTGGTATGATGAGTAAATGAAAGTTATGTCTCTGTGTGAATGAAAAATGTCTGTTTTACCAGAGGCTGTGAAAAGAGAGAGAAAGAGGGAGGGAGAGAGAGAGAGAGACTTAGTGAAAATTGGAACTACGGTGGTTTTTTTATTTATTTAAGACATTCCTATTGATTGGAGTCAAATAGAACAGTCACGTTACTGCAAACTAATTCCACTGAATTCTGTGAGATGTTTTTGGTGATTGGTGATTGTGGTTAGGAGTTTACACATTTATAATCTTAGTTTTTCCCATGCTTCGATAAGCCTTTATCATGCTACGTTCCCGTGTAAATCTGCCATCCTGGTATTTAATATGAATGTTATCTGTTCAAAAAAGTCTTCACTGGGGGGGGGAAAAGCTCAAGTATAATGAAATTTGCGTGATTTCAATACAACTAAATTACTCTTCGGTTTTCTTTTATGGTAAAGGAAAGAGATATGCAAATACGACTTGTTGAGGGTAAGTGCTTTCTTTCTGTCTAAAGACAGAGGTAGAAAGAAATCATGTAATGAATGAAAAGTCACTAACGTACCGCCTAACGCTAACGTGTCAATATCACTTGAATTTCAG